TTGTACACAGTGACCTTTGCACACACATACGTGTGTGTGTGTGTATATAAATGTATATATCTCTCAACCAGCTTTCTTAGTGGCTTGTTCCAGGATTGAACACATGTCTAAAACATGGTTTCAGTTTTGTTCTTGCCTACATGGTTACTGTATGGATTTTTGCAGATGTCTCTTTCAATGATTCTCGTTTTGGGTCATAATTGTTCATATCAGACAAACGCGCATACAATACTACCCTGTGACCATGTATGTACACACATGCATATTTTATTAGTGGAATGTTGCAGTCTATTTTAGGTATGCGAGACATTATCTTTCTCTTGCTATCCTGTTGCTCTCACATTTGGAGTAGGGCCTCCTCTGACCTTTTCAACCATCCCCTCCCTCGCTGTCCATCCTGCCGTAGATGACAGGCCACTCCGCTTGGAACTCGCACAGCAAATTAGCTTTCCAGCTGCTTCAGGGCAGTACGGTCTGGTTATGCCCAGTCTGACTCCAGACAAAACATCCACGAGAGACACCACCTCAAACCGCCAGATAGGCACATATATAATACTAACATTATTCAAAACGAGGAATAAGAGGAACTCAAACATTCCACTGTTTGTTAAAAGTCTGGTCTTTTGCCTCGGTTTCTTTCCAGTCTTTGAATCCCATGTCCAGACATTCAAGCTCACTTTAGTGTCTGTATATGTGTGTGTTTTTCTTTCTAATTTTAGAACAACGCCCCTCTCCCTTGTGGCAAATGCATTACCCGAGCCAGCTTGTGGCTAATGGCACTATGTATCCATAGAGTGGATGTTTTTGCAAGATTCCTGGAGATGCTATCGGGTGTCATCAAGGGCCAACATCAAATTAGAGAGGTGGTGACTTTCTAATTTTGTAAGGTGCTGTTTGACTTTTAGGGGCTTTTGCTAAATTTACTTTTAAGACTTGCATTACTGTACGTTTTCATTCAGTTTTCACTTAAACCAGACTGGGTTTTATTTGCTGAGCTGGTGGAAACCTCCTGAAATGATGAGTTGGCAGTTTTGGAACACCCATGCCCTGTTTCCCGTTCTTTTTGCCTCGTTATCACCTGTTTGAGGTTGGCATGTCCTTCTGTTCTGAGACACTGTGGTCCTTATCAGGTAGTACTTCTGCTACTCCTGCCCGCTCTCTCACACTCACCATCCTATTCTGTCTCCTTCTGTTCTTTCTCCTTAGTCATTGCTGCAGATTACTCAGAGGACAGCTGTTTTTTTCTTTTCTTTTTTTCTCTCCCCTTTTCCTTTAGGTTTGTCCTATCGGTTCCCTTGCTCGCTCTCTTTCCAGCGTGTGGGTGTGCTGCTTTATCGGAAGAACACGTGATGTTGAATGGGGAACGAGTAAGCCCACTGCGCGGGCCTCTGCCTTTACTCTGCGACCTTTTGCCCAATTTGGAATATATCTTTGTACTTTGACATTCATCCACAAAATGGCAGCTGTTGCTTATTCTTTCAACTGTTTGCCATTTGTTTAGATGATGTAGTCCAGCTCAGTAGTGCAACAACACCAGCGAGGGAAGCTTTAACCTTTAGCTTGAAAAATATGGAACCCAAATTTAGGGCGTTTCAACACCCTCACGCAGCTGTGCCAAAATACACTAATGTCACAATGTTCTGACCCCCTTTTTTTTCCGTTTCTTTTTTAGGTTTCATGCAAATGGTCCATTTTACAGTGTCTGTAAATTTTGAGCCAAGTGTGTGCTTTTCATTTGACGCTGAAGCATTAAAGAGCTGTAGGTGACGCGCGGAAATAATCTGCTTTTTAATCCAACATGAGAGTAATTGCGGGCGTAGATTCTGGTGAACTTTGCACCCATATAATGATACGCCCTCCGCCGTGAAACCTGCCACTCACTTGAATGAAGCACAGCTGAGCGTTGCGCCCTTATTTTCGCTCTACATCTCTCAGGTCCATTGTCTGCACGACTTGCTTGCTTCCTGTGTGGTTAGAATGTTTTTGCTTCTACAAACAAATTGAGTTTATGTCTTTTTTTTTTTCTTCACATGTGCTGTGTATAACTGCCGAACCAGTTTGCAAATTACAAGCATCATTTGCATGCCTTCCTGGCAGTGTTGTGACAGCTGGCAGCTGGACAGGTCTGATGTTACCACAGTTAACTCACTTCACCTTTGCAAAAGTTACAGCTGAGGGCAAAATTGTCCTTTTTTTTGGGGGGGGGGGTGGTAGAAACAATTACCAGAATGCTTGCTGCATTGATAGCCATATTAAAGTAGGTCGATACAGCTCGTGTCATTGGAAATGGGATGTTTTTACTGGCCAGCAGATCAAAGCGGGAGCAATATATTCGAACAGAAAGCCCTGTAGCTTAGTCTCCATTCGGACCGCGTCCATTCGAACACAACGGGCTCCCCGCTACAGCCCGATGACCCAGCCAAAGCCAGCCACGCTCCGTTTCACCCAGACAGCTTTCAGCTGGCGCTTCAGTTGGCATTTCTGTTTTTTTTTTGAGGAACCCTGTAATTGGCCATATTTAAAACGGACCGTATGAAGTCACGTTTTGCATCTGGGCAACATTCCACCATCCACTTGTGTTTCATCTCATAGCGCAGTCTGTCATTTTGGTGTCCTTGTTGTGTCTGGCTCTTTTTTTTTTTTTTTTTTGCTTTTCTGCTCATTTCTTTTCTTTATCTTTTTTCAAGTGAAGTTTATTTAATTTTGCCACCATGTTTTCACTCAGTGTTTTACAGGTGAAAAGGTAACGTTAACTACCACTTGTGCAGTCTTTTCTGTCCCCCTCATTTCTGGAACATCAGTAGTTGATGAAAACAAATCTCAGGTCTGTTCACCCCTTGTTTGAGCTTTAGTTCGGCTCTGCCACACCATGTTTAGAGCTGCTCAGAGGTGGTAATTAAAGGCATTGCAGAGTATCTCAGCCATCACGGAAGAAGGAGAAAATTGTGGGGGTTGGGTGGTAAGTGTATGTCGGGTAGAAATTGAAAACTTAGTGGGGTTGATGTTTCCATTTGATAGTATGGCTGGTAGTAAACTGTAGTGCTTTTGAAGAGTGAAGTTGTTTAGCCAATTCAGTGATTTAAAAAAAAAAATATATATATATAGATATTTTATTTTTTTCTTAGTTTTTTTCTTTGTTCAACCGGTACATGTCTGGCTTATAGCAACGAAAAGTGCAACTGAGAGTACACAGGTTCAGGTTGAGAAAAAGTGGGGAGTTTCTGGAGCGGTATGAAACTTTCCCGTTCTTTAATCCTCACCTTGTGACTACAGCCTGTGACACGGTGCTAAAGTCCGAGCCTTTACCGCCCACTACTCTGTTTGCGCGTGTGTGTGTGTGTGACGTCTGTGTTGTGATAGCCTGCTCCTGTCATTCTTTTTTTTTTTCCCTTTCCCTTACCCAACCCCCACACACCTCACCGTGTTGCTCGGAGACAGCTCGAACCAGTTTGTGGCGGCTGGTTTCGACCGTCAAGGACTTGGCAACAGTTTAAGCGGCCGCTCTCTGGCGAGCTCCAGACCAGACATTACCTGTTCTGAGGGAGAGACCCCTGAGTGTGTGTTCTTGTGTGTGTGCCCTGCTGTGAATATTATTAGTTTCCATTTTGGGTGACAGGTGGTGAGTTTACAGAGTGATGTAAGCCAAAGGTGGATTCATTTTTGCTGCCCAGCACAGACTGTAGAGGAGAATTGTCCAGAACTGTGGTTGAATATTCCAAACACTGGAAAATAAGATGTTTAAAGTTATGAATTTAAAGGGCCTTCCTTTCCTTTCAGCTACATTGTGTCTTTAGCTTTCCAGTATATAGCAGACAGAAGTAAATGTTAGTTGGAAATTGGTTGCCTTAGTGACAACTCTGAAGTTTAGGGTTTTAAAAGAGTACTAAAAAAAAAAAAAGATAAGAAGCTAGCGATTCTATCTGAACTGTTCATGGTCATTATGGCAGTTGGATGGTAGGGCGAATATTACGCATTAACCTTCAGATATATTCTTATATACACAGTCGGTCCTTTCATTTTTATATGTAGCGAAAGTTCTCTGCACGCCTCTTGTCCATGTGACTAAGACTTGCTGTATCATACCTAGAGTCATCAGTGAATAAACAGATTTGCCATTATTAATAACCTTATGCACCAAGATTGTCATCCCTTTATTATATTGGACCCTTAATTCCAGGCAAATTATTTCAGTAATGTGTTGAAATCGTATGCGAAAGCCCAGAACTTAAAGAATTTTGACATGTTCTGACACCGGAGGCATGGGAGAAATCCGATAAATAACAACTTATGCCGGGATTGTGACAGTGTGGCTTTGAATCTGATTTGCACAGGTCAATGACGCCGGCCTCTCCTCTGTTTTCTCCCCACAGGGTTTCTGTGTCGACGTTAGCCGTAGCTATATGGCGTGTGTGACCGGAGAATTCTGCCAGGCACAGCACCTCACCTCCGCGGAGAAGTGAATCGGCCGCCCCCCAAGGGACTACGCTACCCAGAAACCCCCCTGATTGCCAGCAAACTAGGAACTGCTGACTTTTCCAAACGAGCCCCCTGGGATATTGCGTAGTCCTCGGCCCGACTGCCCCCGCCCAGTCCCAACCGATACGAATATCTTTGCTATCTACTTTCTCCTCAGACAGCCAATCACAAACAGCTCTCCTGAATGGGGTAAACGCATTGGATGACTCCTGGATAGTGTCATCTTTTTCTTTCTCCCCCTCCCTCCCCCTTTTTGTGTTATTCCTTATCAAGTTTTTCACTTTGTGTATATATTTTTTTTTCTCATCCCAGAGTACTGTGGACTTATCATTTTTGTTTCCCTCTTCTATGTGCACCACCCCACATTGAAGACTTTCCTGACCCATCTCCCACCCCCCCCCCCCGTATTCTTTTTATTTATTCTACCCTTCCCAAAAACACAAATCTCCTTTTTTTCCCCCCCTTTTTTTTGCTGACTTCTGAGCCAAAATTCTTTTTGTTTTGTAAGAGTATTTGTATTGTAATTGTTGTTTTTAAGCCGTCTCGCCAACATGAACCGCCCCGCCGCAGTCGAGATTTCCCACGAGTGCATGAAGTTCCTCATCACCCACAACCCCACCAACGCCACGCTCAACAAGTTCACAGAGGTGAGCCCCGCCTTTGTCCCCCCTGCTTTACCCGTCGGTTAAAAAAAAAAGCACTGACGCCCGCCGCTTTTCAGGAGCTGAAGAAGTTCAACGTGAACACGCTGGTGCGAGTTTGCGACGCCACCTACGACAAGGCCCCCGTGGAGAAGGAGGGCATCCAGGTCCTGGTAAGTGTGGTTTGGGACAAGCCCGTCCAATGAAACGACAAACGGTTCGGTCAGCCTTCATCCCGTCCGCTCTCTCTGCTCCAGGACTGGCCCTTTGACGATGGCGCCCCCCCGCCCACGCAGATCGTGGACGACTGGCTCAAGCTGCTCAACACCAAGTTTCGAGAGGAGCCCGGCTGCTGCGTCGCTGTGCACTGTGTGGCAGGACTGGGCCGGTACGTATGCCCCGGTCCCGCTCCCCCCCTCTGCCTGTGATCAGCTGTAACCCATCTGGAAGGTGTGCGATGTACCGGCCCGCCATTCTCTTTTTTCCGGTAGCATAAGATGATGGGTAGCGTTGCTTTTGTTGGTCAGACATGGGTCAGTTTCTTCTCTCGGATTTCCCGGGGATTCTTGGAAGATGAGGTTGAGTTCACATTTGAACCCACTGGAAGCATAGAACTATTAAGTGTCTGAAAAGTCTTTTTTTTTTTTTTTCCCACTTTAATCTTGTCATGTAGCGTTCCTCTCAGCCTCCCCCCTTCTCTTCTGTGCTTGTTGCTTCTTCAGTAGTGATCACACAGCGTTGGCTGCGTTTCTCGCCCCAGTTTCAACCCGCACCACCGCTTCATTCTGTAACTTGATCTTTTCCCTCTGTTCTTCCTCCCGCTGGTTGCGGAGCAGCTGATTACATTGTATATTTTTAACAAGGCTTTCCCCCTGCAGACTAGAAAATAAGGCGGTTGTCTTTTCACACCATCGGCCAGTCATAAGGTTGCACTGTGGAGATTCTGTACGCATTTGTCAGTGAATTACAGTAAAGTGGTGAATAAAAGTGTGAAGACGGCTCGTGTTGTGGGCGAGCCAGTGTGAAGAGTCTATTCTGACCACGGAGGCACAGAAAGCCCATCGGCTCTGCGATATTCCCGAGGTCGGATAATTCCCAGTGTTGGTTAGATTGCCGTTTTCTGAACCCATCTCCCGTTTTCTAACCTAATTTTGAGGAGGCAGATCTGTGTTGTCTTTTATCTATTGCCCTCAACCCCCTCTTCCATGCTATCTAGAACAAAAAAAAAAACACATCTTTGTGGAAGAAGAACCCCTTCAAGACCTGCTCTGTGCTGAGATCTGACCTGTCAAGGGGTGGAAAGCACCCATGTTTTTTTTTTTTTCTCTCACTCCGTCTCCAGTCTTGTGTGAAAAAAAGAAAAGAAAAAGGCTGTCTTACTGTAACTTATCACAGCTCTGTGTGTGTGTGTGTGTGTGTGTGTGTGTGTGTGTGTGTGTGTGTGT